CAAAACATTGCTGTATTATTTACTAAATGTGATGTTTTAGATTGCACGGCTAAAATAACATACATATACTGCTCCTAGATCTCTTTATTAAAATCAAGTGGTCTGGGTGCCTTTGGTGTCGCTTTAAAGCGGCTTTGTCACCCCACCCTCCACCCAAAAAATGAGCATATCATAAAGATAGAGTTGTTATGGAATAGTTATTATGATTATTGGAATTTCACTGAAATTCCAGCCCAGGCAAGAGATATTCAGAGACAAATTAGGGACTACTTTGTCCCTGTATTTCTCCTCCACCTGACTTTCTATGACACAAGGATGAGTTGCAGAGTCAATCCCTGCAGCCTTCATCAAAGAGGACCCTTTTCAGATAAAGCTGGCAGCACCTGCGAGTACCGCTTTAGGTAAGTAAACTCACCTTAACCTGCCCCCTACCAATGGACCACCAACGGCAATGTCTCTAAACGGTGACCGTGCCACTTTAAGTAAACTGTTGTTTTCAGCTAAAATTTGATCTGTAGAGTTTGATGAAAATGTTAAATATATTTCTTTTTTTAGTACAGCAGGAATTTTGTAATGTGTAATATATAGATGTAATATATAGATATAGTACATTATAGCCGATGTATGTGCCTACCCACAATGCAACAAGAACAGCTTACAAAACAAGTTGTAAAGCACATTTTTGAAAGTCTCTCTAACAATACATTTCCTACTACTTTTGGTAACACAAATGTAAAATGAAAGTTGTACCAAACCAGCATTGGTGAAATGGATTTTTTTTTTTTTTTTCGTAATTCTAATTGATCTCTCTTTATATTTTAGGCTTGCTTCCTTGGTTTCGAGGTAGCTATGAAATTCCTAAACTGGATGGCACCAAACTTGTGAAACACAAATGATTTACAGCTTGTCAACATGAGATCCAGATACCTCTATGAAAACATTTGAATGTTTGACCGAAAAATAACACACCATGCCTTATTAATGAACAGTGCAAATGTAGCACTTTCTGGGAATACTTGAGCCATTTATTAGCTTAAAAAATGGAAACCTACAAAAAAAACCACACAACCTCCCACCCCCAAAATATATCAGACTGTAGATTGTTTTTTTTTTTTTTTAATTAGCATGATGAAATGCACTGCTCAGATGACTGTATTAAATAACTATATAATTATTTAGGTTTTTTTTAAACAAGCCATGTATTCAATGATCTCTGTTTCAGGGCAATAAGTTATCCTGTGTTTTCTACATGCAACATCACTAAGTGCTTCAGGATGTTAAAGAATAACTGTTTAATAATCAGCCTAAAACCTGCTGACACCAATGCGGTGTATGTTTAGGGCCCAACCACTACTTGTTTAGTTTTTTTATAATAGAGTGGATGGGAGATATTCCTAGTCATTTGTGGACTAGTGTAAAGGACCAGAAATTGATCTTTAGATGGGGTGGAGCAGATCCTTCTTCTGTGCCCTTCAGTTCTCCTTCTCCTCTGCTGGGGTGTGACGAAGTACTGGGATATTAGAATAACCAAGGATGCCCATGGAAGCAAACTATCTGTAACAGGAGGCAAGGCAGAAGCTGATTTGTCCTATATCAGTAGTGCTATTCAAAGATTTTAATGTACTCTGGATTTCAGTCTGAATCCCAAATGTTCCATGTATATCTGTTCTTCTAGGCAGATGTAAATAATCTGTGTATAATCAGTCTATCGGTGAAACTGTTGAATGTACACAGACTGAAACATTAAATATTTTACTTGTAACACCTGACTAGTAGTAATGTCAGATCCTGCTTGCTGTAAAGTCACAGTGCAGAATGTTCTAAAATCTGCTGGCAAGTCTTGTCAGTGAGTGCACTGATTGTTTGTTTTATCAGTAGTGAATATTGGTGTTAATTTTATAGAGGGCAGCACTGTGAATAATAGCAGACTGAAAACTGCGGAAATTCTATTTGAGTGCACAAATGTGATGCACTTTTAAGCATGTGGCATGCAAAGCATCATGTGAGTTCTAGACTAGTCCCAAACTAGCTTTACTCTGTATAGTTATGTTTAATAATGTGGCCAGTCACTGAACCTTTTGGCAGAATGTAAGAGTTATCTGTGAGCCACATTATTTAATCATATATTGTATGCCACTGGGTTCCAAGTCTTAAAGTCTCTGATTATCTTGAAAACATGGTACGTTTTATTTTGTTTAACATCATTTTAACATGGTCAGTAACAGTCGGAAAGGTATGTTTTTAACAACCTTTTTATCTAAGTGCTATATTCTCTATATAGTTCAGATCAATATTTCTTGCAATGATGTACCAGTGATGTCAGTTTATGAATGAAGGTGGTAGGTTTCATTATCTGTTCTGCGTTAGAAGTTCAAAGGAACACTGCAGACACAGAAAGCACTTGAGCTTGTTGAAGTGCTTTATGTGTCTGTGGTCATGCACATTTGTTACCGTTTATAAAAGTGTCAGTTTCAATAGAAGTATTCATTTAAAGGTACATGCATCCGTTTGTGATAATTGTCGAATTCTAAAGTTTTAGTTTTGAATGACTGTTACCTATTTTTTGTTGTACCCGTTTCATCTTACTTGCACTTTTCATGCCCACCTGATGGGGGAGGCTAGTCCGATTAGTGTCCTATCCTTGTAATCATGGAAAGTAAAATGCATAGGTGAAACACCCACTGACTGCCAGGAGATTGAGGGTTCTGGTGCAGGTCCTGTGACTCGGTAATGTCTGCTAGTTACAGGGGTGTCACTGGGACACTGTTAATATGTGAGAATGTACACTTTTTTCTTCTATTGCACTGGAAGATTTCTCTGGCTGTGCCTTATGGTGATAAAGAGAAAATGCTAGGTAAGATGGTAACTGTGTGTTAGTTTGGAAAGGGGTTTTACAGGTAAGCAAACGTGCAAAGCTTTCTACACGTCAAAATAATTTAACTGTGATGTGAATCATGTGTCTTCCAGACTGGACTAAATAAAAATATCTGTGATGAATAAGGCAACAAGTCTAATCACACACTGTACGATACCAAACACTCCATTTCAGACTACACAAGTCATGATATAATGTTACACCATTATGCCCTGGGCAAATGGCATTAATCTCTCTAATATTTAAAAAGACGGCAATCATCTTTCCTGTCCAGCCTTTTTTTCCATGATTTAGAAGACTAAATCATACAAATATAAACTTATATCAGCCCGATTATGACAAAATTGGAACAATCGACTGTCAGTCCAGCAAGTGGGAGAATCTCTTTAATCCGGTTTTGATTTTTAACTCTATATTTCAAACAGGTCCCATTAAATAGAGAAGAAACTGAGAAAATCTGTCCCTAATTAATGAATATAGAAAATACTTTATTAATATATATTAAAAAGACATTCCCCTAATAAACTACCGATAGCACAGTGGTGTCATATAGTATTAACTGGCTGTCTCAAATGGACAGACAGAATAGCCAACACACCAATACTGTTAGTGTGTATATAGGGGAGGGATGGGGGGGAGTAGGGAGAAAAAAGTGCAGGACACTAATAAACAATGATTGAAATAGTCACAAAACATATAAATATAAATGTAATAACTGGTAGCAATTACCAGAGTCTAAATGTACAACACAGCTAATTCGGGAATCTTAGCAGGGTAGAGAGGGAAAGACAAACAGAGTACACTCTTAGTGTGTGTATTGATCCTGAAACAGTAAAGATCTATTGTATCAAATGAGATCTACCAAAGATATGCACAAAACATATGTACTACAATAATGGCACTAGAGTGGATCAAAAATGAGTGTCTAAAGTAGGACCACTCGAGTAAGTTGCAGATCTAAATGATAAATAGTTACAAAGAAGAGAGTGTAACAAATCATAACAGTACTGGGCTTAGTGATCATGTCACTAGTAAACAGACGCCCGGGATATAGTTGATACAATGTCACATAAACATTGCGTCTGCACAACTGTATCCACTCGCTGTTTGCTATATTGATATAATGGTAGTAAATGAGATAGGAAAGGAATGGTACCTTCATGGGTACCAGTTATAGTAAAGAAGGAGTACACATAAGTAGGAATTGCTCAAAACAAGATAAGTTATATACAAGAATACAGAAAATAAGACTTAGCTGAATTGCTATTTTGTGTCCTGATGAAAGCTGAAACGTCGAATTTTTCTTCCGCAATAAATGGAGAAGTTATCTTCTGGAAAACCTTGAGTGCCGGTATTTTCACTTTGTTTATATATATATATATATATATATATATATATATATATATATATATATATACATACATACACACATCTCTCTCCTCTCTCCCCTCTCCTCTCCTCCTCTCTCCTCCTCTCTCCCCTCTCCTCTCCTCTCTCCTCTCCTCTCTCCCTCCTCTCCCCTCTCCTCCCCTCTCTCCTCTCTCCCTCTCTCTCCCTCTCTCCCTCCTCCTCCCTCTCTCCTCTCTCCCTCTCTCCTCTCCCCTCTCTCCTCTCTCTCCCTCTCCTCTCTCATTTTTGCCCCCATTTTTCATGAGCTGAAGGCAAAGATCTTAGACTTTTTCTATGTACTCAAAAGGCCTATTTCTCTCAAATATTCACCAATCTGTCTAAATCTGTGTTATTGAGCACTTCTCCTTTGCTGAGATAATCCATCCACCTCACAGGTGTGGCATATCAAGATGCTGATAAGACAGCATGATTATTGCAAAGGTGTCCCTTAGGCTGGCCACTAAAAAAGGCCACTCTAAAATGTGCAGTTTTATCACACAGCACAATGCCACAAATGTCGCAAGTTTTGACGGAGTGTGCAATTGGCATGCTGACTGCAGGAACGTCCACCAGAGCAGTTGCTCTTGAATTGAATGTTAATTTCTCTACCATAAGCCGTCTCCGAAGACATTTCAGAGAATGTGGCAGTACATCCAACCAGCCTCACAACCACAGACCACGTGTAACCACACCAGCTCAGGACTCCCACATCCAGCATCTTCACCTCCAAGATCATCTGAGACCAGCCACCCAGACAGCTGCTGCAACAATCGGTTTGCAAAGCCAAAGAATTTCTGCACAAACTGTCAGAAACCGACTCAGGAAGCTCATCTGCTTGTTCGTCGTCCTCATCGGAGTCTCGACCTGACTGCAGTTCATTGTCGTAACCGACTTGAGTGGGCAAATGCTCACATTCGATGGCATCTGGCACTTCACGGATGAATCACGGTTTTCACTGTACAGGGTAGATGGCAGACGGCATGTATGACGTCGCGGGGGTGAGCGGTTTGCTGATGTCAATGTTGTGGGTTGAGTAGCCCATGGTGGTGGTGGGGTTATGGTATGGGCAGGTGTATATTATGGACAACGAACACAGGTGTATTTTATTGATGACATTTTGAATGCACAGAGATACCATGATAAGATCCTGATGCACATTGTTGTGCCATTCATCCACGACCATCACCTTATGTTGCAGCATGATAATGCACGGCCCCATGTTGCAAGGACCTGTACACAATTCTTGGAAGCCTGAAAACATCCCAGTTCTTGCATGGCCAGCATACTCACAGGACATGTCACCCATGTGCAAAGGAGATATGTTGCACTGCATGAGGCAAATAGTGGTCATTCCCAATACTGGTTTTCAAACCCCCCCAGACCACCTCAATACAGTAAAACTGCACATTTTAAAGTGACCTTTTATAGTGGCCAGCCAAAGGGACACCTTTGCAATAATCATGCTGTCTAATCAGCATCTTGATATGCCACACCTGTGAGGTGGATGGATTATCTCGGCAAACGAGAAGTGCTCAGTAACAGATGTAGACAGATTTGTGAACAATATTTGCGAGAAATAGGCCTTTTGTGTACATAGAAAAGTCTTAGCTCTTTGAGCTCAGCTCATGAAAAATGAGGGCAAAAAACAAATGTGTTGTGTTTATAATTTTGTTCAGTATATATATATATATATATATATATATATATAAACACACGCACGCACGCACACACAAAATCCATCTCATTCAATAAACAGCAATTTCAAGTCTTGCAGAATGTTTTTTATTTAAATACACCTCACCCAGGCAAAACATAATGAGGGTTTAGTTACAGTATATGATCATACATTTCATAAGCCTGCCACAACGTCAATGTACCCCATTCTTGGCAGGTCCTACTCTAGCAACCTAATGCCTGCTCTAATTTGATTAATGAATTTACTTGGGAAATTATTCCTTACTGACACACTCTGCAAGTTAAATAGGGCCCTGGCCACCCACAGTCCTGCCCCTTCTAGAGGTGTGGCTAAAACAGGGATTACACACTTCCTTTTTGTCATATCCATTCATACTGTCAGTTGGAACTCTGATATGCTAAAAGCAGTCAGCTGACACTCTCAGTCAATCACAGCTGCCCATTGCTGCTCAGGCTCAGTTTGGACAGCCAAGGACTCTTGTTTAGCATTAAAAAATAAAAATATTAAAAACTGTTTAATGCTGATTAAAATGGTGGTACCAGAGGATTCCAGACACTATAAACAGTTTAGGCACTGGATCTGCTTCATTATATTAAAGAGTCCTTTTAATTGACAGCTTGTTGGTGAATGAGTTAAATAATTTTCAAGAGCATTCTTTCAAGGCCACTTATGTCAAATGTACCCCACTCTGCCACTCAAGGACATTGGAGCAGTACTGTCATGAATAATGCAGTAGTATGTAAAAACACTCTGACCACCTCTACCCATGTTTAGGGCAACGTGCCCATCATGCCGTCGGTGTGCTCATGCATGCCCAAGCATGTACAGAGAGTGCCTGAGCATTCCTTCAATAAAGCTGTACGTGTGTGCCTTGCCAACAATTAAAAACTACTTAGATTATTTAATTATAAGCAATGCAACTTTTAATTAGCTATCTGCTGATGCATTAATCTCATTTGTGACAGTTTACTATATAAGCAGCAGGGAACTGTATTAATATATATTTATTAAACAACATCCCTAATCTATGAAAATATTAATAAATCACAGGAATGATTTATATATATAGTGATGTCCCAAACTGTTCGCCGAACGGTTCGCCCGGACTCATCATTGAGTAAACTTTGACCCTGTCCCTCACATTCAGCAGACACATTCCAGCCAATCAGCAGCAGACCCTCCCTTCCAGACCCTCCCACCTCCTGCACAGCATCCATTGTGAAGCTGCATTCTTAGTGAGCTGTCCAGGAGGTGGGAGGGTCTGGGAGGGAGGGTCTGCTGCTAATTGGCTGGAATGTGTCTGCTGACTGTGAGGTACAGGGTCAAAGTTTACTCAATGATGAGTCCGCGGCGAACCGTTCGGGACATCACTATTTATATACTATTTGGAGAATAGTAATTAAATATATACACAAAGTTATTATATAAAGTGGGAATTCAAGGTGGATTCAAAGTGAATCACAAAATGACACATTCAGCTATACTCTCAGTTTGGCTACTCTGACCTTAAATTTGAAAATCACTTTGAATTCTCACTTTAAAAAAAAAAAAAAAAACAACAAATAACTCTGAGAGTGCACTATTTGCAAATCAACTGTTTACTGACGTTTATAAAGTAAATATAGGCAAAAATAGCGTATCTGAAAATATTCTCCAACTTGCCTGTGGTAAAACCTTGAAAGTAAATAAATAAATAAATAAATAAAATAAAAAAAGGCAAACTTTGTTAGGAATACAAACATGTACTCCGAACACTAGAGTGTTTATTATAACTGTTTGGATTATTGTTATGGAATTATAGAAAGGTAGAAATGATTTAGTGTCTATCCCCTACACTTGGGATCATTCCAGCCAAATACTTAAAATACACAACAAAACGCTCAAAATCACAAATATTGACAGAATGTAGGCTGAATTGGAATGGTAAAATACCATTCACATTGACTGGAAATTAATTGATCTTCATATAAAGGGTGTATATAATTTGCCGTACAGTGAAGACTAATTTGCCACACCCTTTGGGTGCCTCTAAATCATTTTCCCCCCATTGTCCCTCAATGCTAGAGGGGTGGGCCGTATACCAACACCATTGTACTAAATATCTCGAGATATCGGAGACACACAAACCAACTAAGATTTAATACATGCCAAATCTAACACACTACTTCTATCATTTCCCATAGTTATATTACCCGCCACTATTTACAGTATTTACTTTCCAGTATCTTCTGTATTGTTTACATGTTGCACAACGGGGAAAAAACCCAAAACAAAAATAGAGAAAACTGACAAAACAAAGATGGAAATTGAAATCAGTACTGTTTCTGATACCGTTCGCTATGTATGCACTTCTTATCCTGTGTGGGAAAACTTTTCAATTTGTTGATCTCAATATTTAACACAAATAATAACATAAATAATTTCCCCTGAATTACCGTATTAGGATGGACAAAATTTGGACAAGTCAAAACACTGAAATTGTTTTGTTCAATGAATAAAAAAAAATATTTCACCATGCGTAAGTCTGATATAGACAACCTTTAAAAATCATAGTTATTAAATTTTACAGACACACTTCAGACGTTCCAAAAAGACATGCGGGAATGGTCATATCCACACATCTCCTGGTTGGGGAGAGTACAAGTAATAAAAAAGAACTTCCTACCATGCATCCTCTATCTCCTCCAAACCATTCCCATCAAGATCCCAAGCCCCTTTTTTAAAAACCCTCAGAACAGAAATGATCAGATACGTATGGAATGGGGGGAAACCCAGGGTGAAATTCACTACCCTGACGCGGCCTAAGGACAAAGGAGGCTTAGCCCTCCCAGACTTCCACTTATACTATGTGGCCACACACCTACAGAGAATTGTAGAGTGGTCAGAAGACAGGGTTCACAAACTGTGGAAGACGGTGGAGGAGACAGAGGCGGGTAGACCACTCTCAGGACTGCCCTGGGACCGAAACGCAACGAACCGGGACGAAATGTCCATCTACACCAAACACACCCTGAAAATATGGAGGAGGGCAGCGGTGAAGGGGAACATATCGCCATACCCCTCTCCCCTCCTTCCATTGACATATAACAAAGACTTCCCCCCGGGACTAGACCCAAGAGCCCTCAGAGACATCCTGCCAGACACTCACCCATGCTTACATCACGTCCTACAGGAAGGGAAATGCAAAAAGTTTTCGGACATGATGGGAGAGGTACCCCCGACCTTTATGCACAACTTTAGATACTCCCAACTAACCAACTACATCCACACTCTACCACAGGGACCAGCACTCACTAGAGAACACACCACATTAGAGGTAGTCTGCATGCACCCAGACCCGCTCCCACATGGAGTGTCCTTCCTATACACCATGTTACAAACAGACATCCCAACCGAGACACCCTTATTTATGGGGAAATGGGAGAATGCCCTAGGATACACATTGACAGACACAGAATGGGAATCCATTTGCTACCTCACACACCACTGCTCCACACACAGTAAAACACAAGAGACAGCCTACAAATTACTAACTCACTGGTATAGGACACCACACCTCCTCCGCCAGATAGACCCAGATCAATCTGGCCTATGCTGGAGATGCCAACAAGAAGAGGGAGATATAAAACACATCTGTTGGGACTGCACAAAAATTAAACCACACTGGCAAAATATACACAGAATGCTCGAGAAATTCACAGACGAGCCACCCCCCCTGGAACCAGCAGCAGTGTTCCTACACCACACTCCTACTCCACGCTCTAAATACAAACGATCTATGACCATCCAAATACTTAATATAGCCAAGCGAGTAATCCCCCAATTCTGGAAGCAGAACATAACACCCCCACTTAAGACCTGGTTCAGCCAAATGGAGGAACTCAGGATAACAGAGGAACTGACCATGTCGACTAACGCGACCTCAAAGACCTACATGGACATTTGGACATATTGGATCCTAGAGACAGCGAAGGAAGGATTCCAAATGGAACTTGGATCAGACGAACACCAAACCACAGACAGTTAGGACTTAGAACACCCACTGGACGACAGATGACGGAAGAGAATGACTACCATAACACCCCTCTCCCCACCCTAACCTCGACTTTCCACCCCCCACTCTTCTAAAGACCCACACAGGACAATAACCCCAAACCAAGCAGAAATTAATACCTAGAGAGAAGACACTAGTGCCCTGAATATAAAATCCATACGGGTTCACACCCATCCCATAACCTGCAAGAGACACAATCCTACTGGAACACAGGCCGAGCAGACGTGACAAACACAAGATAGCCTGCAATCACACCCTGCCGACATGTGAGACA